ACTTTTACACGAATTACTAAAGAACCAACAGAGTATAGAGCATATAGTATGCTTTTAATAGAAAACGTTCAAGTTAAATATAAAAAAGATTAAAACGTTCAAGTTAAATTTATCAAATCTTTTTGTATTTAAACAATTCAAAATTTTGTTTGGTAACTGTAACTGTAAAATTATAATTTATAGAAATTAAACCGTTATTTATGATTTATTCCGTAGCTTAATTAGTTAGCCATTAAGATTCATTAAACAGCCAACCGAATCTAAAGGGCTTACAATGTCTAATTTATAAATGTGCATATATATATATATATATATATATATATATATATATATGTGTGTGTGTGTGTGTGAGTATTTGAATAAAGTGCATTTTATCAAATGTTTGCATTATTTCTAAATATTTATGAGACAAATAATTTTATCTATATTTATTTATATTCACAAAGATTACCAAGAATTGTTTAATTATAATTTATATAAATAAATCTTAGCCAACCTCTGCGTTTTAATTATAAACGACAAGATAAAAAGTCTAATATAAATTGACACTCATCAATAATTGAACTAATTATTTTTAATAATATTAACGATATCTTAATCCTAAAATCTCAAGTAAAACGTTATTTGCATTTGAAGAAAAAATTCAGTATAAAATGATTATTTTAAATAAGGTATGCGAGTGTAATATTTACTTTATTTAAAATATATATTCTGTGTGTGCGAATATAAATAAGCATGATGACATAAAAAGTAAAATAGTTTTTATCAAAGTGTGAAATTAGATTTTTGCTTGAAAACTGATACACACATTTATATATGTGTGTAATAAGCTTTTGTAGATTATATTTTTTGAAACAAATGACAACTTTGTTTTTATATGAATTTTTACCTAAAAAATCAATAAACGCTTCATATATCCAGTTTTCATTTTGTGGGAAATTGTTTAAAATGAAACAAAATCGTCAAAGAAAAACTAAGAACTAATGTTGAAATATAGTTAAATTTATGTTGAAATAAAAATAAACTTTATCATGTAAAAAATATGTATGCAATACTCTACTCGAGATAATTTTGTAAAGAGTTACATAAATAAATGTTTCTATAAAAAATTATTTGCAACAGTGCAACGTACGAGACTCAAGCAAGTAAACAAAAAATCGATAACTTTTATTAGAATGACCTAGAACTTGACTCTTGAATGATTTTTTATCACGATTGCAATGACTTTGTTTTTTATGTGGATCACATGTTTTTAGTCTGAGTAAATATAATTATCGCCAAACATAAGCATGAAACCTAAAATAATTAGGAATATAAGAATTGCAAAATATACGAAACGACAGGTGTGGAGCATATGTTGTTTGACTTTTTCTCGTGCATGAAACTCTCGTATATGTTTGGAACAAATGAGTATAGAAATAAAATTATTTTAAGTATTTCAGCTGAAGCACGTACGAAGCGTTATTTGTTTTGAAAATTAATTAAATACATATTTCATAGCAAACTTATTTCTTTGCGGGCGCTGATGTATTTCACAACAATTCTAAATATAGTAAAGGACTTCGAATTGAGGATTGGAATTAAATTATAGACAAAATTGTTGCAAGATATAAAACAGATTTCAAGTTTGAAATTGGAATATTTTTGGTATACTACCAAAATAACCAATTTTGCTATGTAAATATATAATAATATAAAATATATCATATTATATATTACCACTACGTATTAGAAAAATATGTAATAACATTTTTTGGGGCTGTTTATATTTTTTCTATTTTTCCTACTTTTCCTATTTGCGTGTTTAAGATCAAAGTATTGTTACATTTATTAAAAATGTAATCTCTGCATGGTTTTAAATTTATTATGTATTTATTTATTTATTCAAGCTATTAATAATCTATAATCAGGCTTATGTCATTTTATAAATAATTACATGAAGAAGTGTTGTTTACAAGATAAGAATGTTGTTAATTTAAATACAATTTACAATATAATGTTACCACAATACTTTTCTCAATACATAATAACCAAATACCAATCATTTCATGAATATGAAAAATGTAACAGATCATATTTACTTTACGTATTAAATTTATTTATTATATAATTTATACGATTTTTATTAATGATATAGAAATTATATTATTAATTATATTTGGAGTATAATCGTTTATTTGTACATTTTTATCACTTTTTCTGTCGGCCAGCAAAATGTAATGCTTCTTCTGAACCAAAACTTTTAAATTATTGAATAATATTTTATAAATTGTAAGTCTAGAACTAATAGTCGGTCAAAAATCCATACAAGGTTTTCAAAATTTTTAGGGGACAAAAGGATTTTTGTTTATAAAATTCAAAAAGTTCTCATAAAAAACTAAAAAAGAACAAAAAAATCATGTAATAAAGTTAAGACAAATACAAACTTATTTTGATTTCATTCAGAATAACGCGGTGCCTAATTTAAATTTGCTGTATTATCAATTATAAAGAAATTACAGGGAAATATATAGTAATCATAGTGAAAAGTTATGTCCAAAGTATGGTTCCCCATCAGAATATTTTGAGTAATAAATCAGAAATAAATGTCCTGACTTTTTCAGAATAGAATTGTTCATTTTATACTAAAAATCTGGAGAGACATGTAAATTAAATGTAATTCTAGAGTCAGTGAAAATACTTTTGGATACATCTATTCAATATTCAACTAAAATACACATAGCTCATTTATAATTTTTAACATTTTTTCCATTTCATTTGTCACATTCGTTCCGCAACAATAAATTATAAATCCAACTCACCTTGTGCTTCTTCGGATGCTTGTAATGATAAGAAAAGTATTTTACCAAGCGAATATAATGAATTTAAAATATTTACATTACAGAACCAAACAAAAGGGCAATGAAATTTCAGCAAGCAAAGTCTGCTTCCTATCAATTAGTTTTAAATCAAGTTCCAATGCCAAACTAATTTAATTACTTACGATATCGTAAACTACAAACCATTGAGAACCATAAAAATTTTAATATATTTTTAGAATTCGTAATCACAAAATTAGCATATAAATAATATGTCGTATAAATATAGATGGAGTATTACATTTTAAATGAGATATAACTTAGAATAGAAATGACTTGAAAAAAAATAGCGCTAAAAAATATACTGAAAAAAATGCAAATGAAAGAAATGAAAAAGATAAGCAGTTAATTAGTTGAATTTCGTCTCAATGACAGGTGTCAAGTTGTTAAAGAAATAAATATCCCATATCAAAATGCATATATCATTAAGTATCAAAATCTGAGCATATATGTATTTTTTTTTTTTAATTTAAAGTATTAAATGAATTTGTGGAAGAAATACTTTTCGTCTGACTATTGTATTAAATATTTTGTTAAAATCAAAATATATGAAATCAAGATGCATTTGATGCACCATGCTAAAATTACCTCTTTTTGGGGTAATGAAATCTATAATTTTGGGGAAATTAAAAAAAATAAAATTTGTGATATTAGAATTTTTATTTTTTATGCAATTTCATATGAAAGGAATACTTATTTAAAAGTACGAATATTATAATTGAAAACTTTATTTATTATATAAGTTTTTAAAATAATATACCGACGAACATTGGCATAATAAATATAAAACAAAAACAAAAACAACACGTAAGTAAATCAAATTTAATTACTGTTATTACAAAACGCTCGTTAATTTTATCATTTATTATAATAATTCCGAAAAAAAAAGAATATTCGACATGGGATTACTCTCTATAATATAGAGTCTCTATATAAACCAGTTTTATAAAAAAAGTACCTAATTGTAAGTATTCATATTTACCTGTTTGATATTTTTCAAATAAAAACCTATCAAATATTGATTATTCAAATAAAGTTAATATGTTTTGATGAACATTGAGTTTTAAAAAAATTAGATTGAATTTTAAGCATAAATAATAAGCAACTTTTAAAACTAACAATTTTACCAATGTTAAAATTGAAGAAAACAGGCTTCTTACAAAAAACGTTATTCAAACATAATAAACATTTGAATAAAAGCACATAATATGAAATAATAAGGCTCAATCAGTTTAAATTCGTTGGAATTGTTAAAATTATAAAGGCAGAAAAATTACATTAAACAAGATTATTATATTGAACAAGATTAATTTAAAATTATATATTATAGCATAATTTGAAAAAAGTATAAATAGTATGATTTAAGATGAACATATTTCACAATTAAGTAAATTAAAAACGCTATTACATAAAGAAATAAAAAAACTTATAACAAAAATTCATTATCTCTGTTATGATTGAAGCACAAAATTCAATTGCAATAAACATTCAAAAGTTGTAGTAAATAGTATAACAATTTTTTTCATATTTCAACATTAACTTAATTTCTGCAAAATCATTGATAAAAATAGAAAGTAGAGCAATATTGATGCAAAAAAGAATGGAATTAACGTAAAGATCCATATGAAACAAAAAGTTCTAAATAATATATACTATACACTATAGATCTTTTAAATTTAGCAATTTCAAAATTATGTTAACTGATTTTATTTTATATACTTTATAAACTTTATTGAAAAATCATTGATAAAATTAAAAAGTCGAGCCATATTGATGCAAAAAAGCATGGGATAAGGAAATGATCCATATGAAAGAAAAAGTTTTATTTTGAAATCAACTTTTTATTCACATATTTTGAAGAATGTTAAATTCATTATTGATATATAGCCATTGATAACATCGCATTGAATTATATGTTAGAATTATTTTGTTGATATATTCCAATAAAATCCTAAAATCAATCACATGTTTTTCTCTGAAAAAAATTACAACAAACTTCTGTTTGCTTTAAAATAATTCATATTATATGAGAATTATTTATGATAAAGTAAACCTGGTATAAATTCGCTCGATTACATGCAATGTTTAATTAATAAGCATATCTAAAGCTATGTTATTAACAACAATAAATTACTTTCATACCTTGATTTATATATCCGCCAGACATGTTGATTGTTTTATATCCTATGTTAAAAACTATTGACTAAGATCACTAGAACTTTTTAATACTATTTGTGTGCAGATCAATATTTGTAAGTCGGTTTTTATGACACATTTCACATAATTGGCGAATTTTCGCACATTTCAGTCAACGTTTTTATTAATTTCATCACGTTTAACACACACATTTGTTAACACTGCGATCTGAACAAATTTAAAATAAATATTTAAAATACTAATTTAAAATACGAATTTAATATTCAAATTTAATATACAAAATTAAAACAAAAAAGACTACGTCAATATAGTGTCAAGTTGTTTTGCATTTTGTATAATATTTATTTGGCAATCTCTGAGCAGATTAAATCGATTATTTCAATTATTTTGAGTGCAATAAATTTTGGCTTATCGCGAATAAGAAAACATTATTTATATGTTTATAAAAATGGTTAAAAATTAAATTTTAAAACTATTCACATCTACATATACCAAACTAAAAAATGAATTTCTCTTTCCAATATTAGTAGAATCATTGATATATTTTTGGACAAGTAGAATAAATATCTATATAAGAAAAAACATTTCGAATGTTGTATAAATTTCTCAAATTAGTAGTTGATGCATTATTTATATAAAATTTAGCCGAAATTAAGCATTTAAACATTTAGAAAACTTAATAATAAATAAATTTACAAATAATACTGATTTTAAAATTAAAATTAAAGGCAAAAGACATTTTTATTTAGCGCAAATTAATAAAATTTAAAATAATAAAAAGAATTAATAAAATAAAAATTTTAAAAAAATAAGAATAATAAAATTATTTAATTCGGATTATTGATACTTTGCAAATAAAATTAAATTATACAAAAAATAAGATTAAGAAAATTTGTTGGAATATAAAATACCATTTCGAGCATAACAATTAAGCAAAGCTGATGAACACAAGAATTTTGAACACAATAAGTAAATAAGTTTAAGTATTTAAATTAATAAGCCACTTGATTACATTAAAATTTTACTTTCACTAATTTTAGTTCTACTAGCCTAGTTTAAATAAATATCGCTATTTTCAATTTTTTTTTTGCAATTACATTATATTCGCAAATTTGACCACACGTTTTGCCGGAAAAATTGAACGCGTGTGCTCCCTTCGGAGACTTTGAAGCGACTAACTAGTTCCTGCGTTCGCGCGTAGTCTTCAGTAGTGAATTATAGTATAGTACATATGAGTAAAGTTTTTTGGCTATGTGTGGGTTACACGCAACCAATGCATTTACACATACGAATTGTGATGAAGGTTCCTAGAATACTCAACATTTTTACCAAAAGAAATTATGTATCTCGATTTTTCGACAAAAGACCAAATGAGAGAGAATATTTCTGAAGATTAATGTCAATCAGACTTAGACGTCCAATATCTGGTTTGGCATTCGGTTTAGGCATTTTCAAATAAGACCAAAAATTTGCTGATGTTCAGCATGGAATATTAAACAGAAAAATTAAAGAAATAGAGAATTTTACAATTACATACATACAAAATATTATCGAGGTTAGAGAACAGATAAACATATAGTATTATAAAATATTGAAATTAATAAAATATTGAATTTTAAAAAAGAACCAGATTTGGAATATTATTATAATTAAAGCAAAAGACTATATATATGTACAGTATGTTTTAGAACTCAACGTCAAAAACAAACGGGCCTGTAATCATTATCAAGTATCATAAAAAAAATTAAAAAAATGTTTCATGCAGTTTGAAAGTTATGAGCTTTTAAGTACAACAAAAGCTCAAGTCAAACTTTGGCCAAAGCTTTGTCAATCGATTATTGTTAATACTGGTTGTGGCATATGAAGTCATTATTAGAATTGTAGAAATATCTCACATTTAGGGGTTGGAATTTGATAGTTTTAATATACTACAGTTTCTGCGAACTTAATCGTCCAATCTGTTTAAAAATAAAAGACAACGTATTTGCGACTATTGATTTTGAATAAATGGATTGATAAGCTTACAAAAAATAGAAAAATGACGATAGAATGCTTTTTAAAAAAATTAAAACAATTTTCTTGTTTGAGTTGAGGGAATGATATTATTTTCTAATAATAATATATTCATAATTTAAATTCATCTTTAACTTCTCGAAAATAATCTTAATATTTTCACCTTTTTAAGTACAACGAAAGCTCTAGTCAAACTTTAGCCAAAGCTTTGTCAATCGATTATTGTTAATACCTGAAAATTGGTCAAATATTGATAAAGCTCTTTGTTGTACTTAAAAGCTCATAACTTTCAAACTGCATGGAATAAATTTTTATTCTTATTATGCCTAAATAACCCTAAGACCACGGTATTGACAATAATGAGTTTTCTATCTGTTAAACTATGAATTTAATATTTTCAAAAATCGATTTTGAAAAGCCATCCTTTAATAAAATGTATTTAAGTTTAGTTCAATACTTGGTAATTTCATACTAAAAAACACGAGTAAAAAATTTAAAAAAACTTAAACATAATTTGATAGAGCTTTCGCTTACAATCAATTCAAACGGTTCTGTCTTGCTCATATTTATAAAAAATGTATGTGTTATATATATAATTGTTTAGATAATAAAATTTCTATGATTAATAACAAAATAATTTAGTTTTTAAAAATAGAATTATACTCACATTTGTTTAATAAACTTTCATATATTTTGAGTCACTTTTTGAATCGAATTCAAGTCACGGCATACAAATTTCAAAAATTTAGAGAAACAATATGCACAAGCAAGGCAACACAATACTTGATTTGATTTCAGATATTTTATTATACTCTTTACTATTGTTCTTTTATTGAAAATTATTCAAAAATGTAAGATTAGGAATGTAAGTAATGTATTACCATAATCATATAAAGTTTAGAAGCAAAAGGTTTGTTTTAGACAATACAACAAGTGAAATTTGTTATAATATAAAATGTTAGAAGTTGAGTAAATTTTGGATAAAGATAATAAGATAATAATGGTAATATGTTTAGGAAATTATGAAACCGATTAGATAATTTCATATATGGAACAAATGATAACAATAAAAATCTAAGAATTAGTTTGAAATTATAATTTAGTAAAATACTTAAAATAAATATTAAAACCAGATGTTTTTCGAGAAATTTAATTAAAAATTATTTTTGAAAATGGGCTTTCCAGTTTCTATTGAGAATCTGTGTAGACCGCAATACGCATTCATTTCCAGGCGTGCATACGCAATGTCAAATAACGTATCCTGTGTTATTTAACGCATATGCATAAAAGCCTGGTTTAACATTAAACAAAGTTGTCTTGCCGTTACAACGTATCGATTTAATTACTTCAACATTAATATATTTCATTAATAATTCAATAATAATAACAATAACTGGTCTGTTATTAAAATATAAATAGAAGACTCAGTTTTTTCACATGTTTCAACTAAGAGGATCCAACCAATGTTTGGACTAAAAAACAAAGACGTGGAATTACAGTTAAAATTAAATGTATAAAGTATACAGTATAATTAAGTAGCTAATTTTTTGTATAGTTTATACTTATAATTTTTTTTAAGTGTAATTATTAAATATTAGAGCATGCAAAACTTTGCACTATATCGACTTCAATTAAATCAAATTCAATTAAATTAAATCAATAAACATATATAATTATTTATTTATATGTTCATAAGTATTTAATATAATGTATACTGTAAAAAATAATTTAGCTTTGCATTTGTCAACGTATCTTTACTTTTCGTAATAAATCATTGTCAATTGTACATTTTTTAAAGTATCTTTATAATTATTTATTGTCAGTTGGAAATGTTTAAAATATATTATTTAATTTATTTATGCTTGAAAATTTGTACATCATTTTAATGAGTTACTTCGGTAAACATAACATTATTATGTCACTTTCACGAACTGTTACGTTTTTAATGTTATATTTTGGATAAAATTCTAATGTGAATAAAGCTCACCTTTTTTTTAAACTAGCTCAGTTATTATCAACCTTTTGCCCCATAATTTTTCCCTAATTTATTTGTATAATTACTCAACATATTGATATAGAATATTATACCAAAATATATACATAAAAATAATTATTTTATAATTGATTTTTAATATAATTCCAAAGTTTTTGGCTTATTTATAAAGTAAAAGAAACAAATGCTCCCCAGAAACGTTGTGCCCCCAGGCTGAAAAACTACAACCTAGCTATCATATCAAATAAACTAAAACCTTGCAATCAAAAGATTATAATTCTGCAAACTCTTTATTGTAAAGATAAAATTAATAAAATTGTATCTATAATTTATAGATTATATAGACTTGAATCAATTCATCTCTGGAAATGACATACAATTACATATTTCCATCCTCGTAACGAAAAAAATGAAAGTGGTACAACCAGGTCACGAGCAATAATCAAATACATAATGACGCACTCATAGTGTAATTTCATAAACATCGTAATAATACTGTTACTTTTAGTATGATGTCATTTCAATAAACAAGTTTGTATTTTAATTCTGGTATTACTGGCACGCAATTCCTCGTTAGATTATGCATTTTATAAAAACCATAAACATTACTGTGTATTTTTATTAATAAAATGTATAGAGTAGGAGAAACCATGTGGTTTGACCAGCTCAATGGAGAGGTGGGTGGATGCATAGGCGGATCAATGGAACTGGCGGCATATTCAGAATTCAGAATTTATCATTAGAATTTACTAGACAAAATGTAGTTCTTTGAGTTCTAAGGGAGAACATGGTACATAGGTACAGTTTATTTAAATCATTGAATATTTAATTGCATTGCATGTGCAGTAAAATAGTAAAATTTCAAATATAATTGCAATTCATTTTCCTCTAAAACTGCATCAAAAATCTAATTAATTTATTTTTAACAATCTGGTAATTTTATAAAGACATTAGGTATTTAGTTTTTCTACAGATGGCTATTAAAGGGTACTTTTTGCATACTTCAAACTAGTATTTTTGACTCGTTAGCATTGATAGTAATGATATTTTAGCTTTTTACTAGTAACAATTATTTGATCCAAGCGAAAATTTATATTTCTACTGCTTGATATAAAGTTACATGGAACCTGGATTTTAAACTTCGAACCTTGTGGTTTCTGGAACCGAGGTTCTTACACTTACTATGCGAATTTCCTGGTAT